CCTATACTTCTATTTTTTGTCACCCATATCTGACAGCTTTATTTTCTGGACGTTGTAGATTCAGATTGTATATTCAACTTTAGCAAGTTGATAAATATCATGTATCTCAGCTTATTTGCAAGTGTGAAAAAAGCTGACTGACATTTTCATTTTTGTTTTAAAAAGTTGCATCAGGTTGCATAATTTTCAAGTTTTGTACACCGACTGAAATCACTATTTAGTCATTAATGTTGTATACTATTAGAAGGGGAAAAGGGTCTTAGGGAAAAATATTAGTAATGGTCTCAGCAGCTGAAGGGGCGTGTTGGTGTCTGATTGACAGCAGCTGGCAGTCTGAGCTCCGTGGGCAGACAGTGGGTTTTTAACAGTGGTACCAGAGAGTAAAGAGCACAGCAGCATCTAAAGGGAAGGACCCAAGTATAGTTTAAATGCTGTTTATTGGCCTGCAGCTGAGAAACTAATTAGCTATCTAGCCTGCAAACTAGCAGTGCACTTTTCCCCTGTGAATAGTAAGGTGCAGGACAAGATGTGTTCATCTTTGTAAGTGAGATAACAAGGAGGACTGTTGTTGAAAGTCTGTGGCTCTTGTGTTGTGTGGCAGGCTGCTCTCTGGTTGTCGGTTAGTTTGTATGCCTATGATAGAGCGGTGACGTTACTGCTAATATGGTTGAGTATGAAACGATTTGATTGGCTGTATGGAATTAAGAACTCACGGTATTCTCACAAATGCAAATGGGGTTGCCATCATTAAACCAAAACATATAGAAAATATATGTCTCCTTTTTGGTTTCTGATTTTTACATAGCTGATATTTATGCTATAGCAGACAAAAAAAGCTAATTTATTTTAATTTCAGACTTCAACTTTTAAATACTTTTTATGAGCAATGGAAAGCTCAGAAATTCAGAGTTAAGGTGTTCGAAGACAGCACTAACAAGACCTACAAGCCTTGAAATAAGGACTCAATTCTGCTGCTTTATACATGCTGAGGAGCTCCAGCAAACTGTTTTCACAATACTATATACTATAATAATGTCGTGTCTTTTAAAGGAACTGAAACATATCTTCCTCCTCTGCAAACACAATTTCCACAGCATTAAGGCAGTAGGCTACATCTGTCTCCCCACTGATCACAAAGTTATTGACAAAGAGACGTGCCTGGACAACTTATCAGTCCAATCCACACAAGTAGCCTGTAAGTCCTCAGCATATAGTACACCTTTAATCGACTCATTGTATCCAGCAGGATGTCTGAATGACTGACTGACAGGCAAACAGTGGCCCAGTGAGTGTTTATGGAGACCACTCACCCAATGGTATGGATTGTCCTGTTTCCTTGGTGGAAAACTGTTGCTAATCCAGAACACAGCAGGACGGGAAATTGCATGGGCTCTATCAGACTTCTTCTGAGTGGCCTTGAAGAGCCATGCTTGGTATAAACACACACACTTGCATACAAGTACACACATATACACACACACTCAGGAGTGGATGTTGGCACACAGCATGTGTCAGTTCTGCCCACTCGCTGTGACCCAATATGGAGTGTGACCAGCTGTCCATAGCTGGATTTTGCCAGTTTTCAGAGCTGAGATTGTGTGTGTGTGTGTGTGTGTGTGTGTGTGTGCGTGCGCATCTGGGTTTGCTTGAGTGTATTACATGACTTTCTACAGACATTTTTGACATCCACACACTAAACTCATCCTGCTGCTGATAATACGGTTCCCTCTGTGTTTTCCATGCCAAGATAACTCATCCACCAAAGTCTAAACTTACAGCAGAGTCCTGGTCATCTGTCACGATCTCCTGCTCTGCCTGTTCTCAGTGCAGCTTTTAGACTAATGAGAGGATTTGTAGAGTCAGCCTTTGACTTTCAGGACTCAGTGATTTAATGTGAATTAAGCACCTGCCAACTCCACTCCTGCAGATGATAGAAGTAAAGAAATGTGGGTGTCTTAGAAGGGAAACGCAAACCCTGTAAGCATAATGTTCTTGGATTGATTTCACACAGGAACCTGAATTGTATGTCATCCTCTACTGTTTCCTTTCCCATGTTTCATGTCACTCTACTGTCAGGAACTAAATAAAAGTGAAAATGTCAGAAAAATAAAGAGTCAGTTGAAGGAATGATTCTCTATATCATTTATAACGAGTTAGCTCTCTCTTTAATATCTCTGGTTGTATATTACGGCTTTGTGGCAATACTGGACTTGCATTACTGTGATAGTTTGCCTTAATTGATGAACACACTTATTTTGCCCCAAAAAAAACAGAATATGACAAATAAGGAAACTAAGATTTTAGAAAGATAACTTGGCACCAGTCTGTGCAAAGCCTCAAAAGTAATCAGTAAAGTCTTCAAATTAATTCTGAAACAAACAAGGCAACCGATCAGGAGATAACATATGGTCCTATTTTTTGTTTTCTTTTAATTAAATAAAACATTGCTGAAAAGTTTTGAACAACAGAAGTTGCTCTGCTTCACTAAGTGGAGGGTCAATAAAAAAAAAATATGACTGAAGAGCTTTTCACTCAAAATTGAGAACCAAATCAAAAGATCAAAGGGTAAATGAAGGTTGAATATTATACAACATATTAACAACACGCACAGTGCAAATTCCAACAAAGTACTCTGCTTTGATAGCATTTATTTGTAAAAAATTGTTAGATGCCCAGACCTTGACATCAGCTCATCAGCTGTGCAGATTGAATTGTATTAATTTCACTTTGCTTGAATAGAATTGATGAAATGTATTCCAAATTAAATGTGGGAGCATAGTTTCAAAGTTACAGATGTCTGTCATCAGCCATCATCAACTGGCGATGGTATGCCTCTGATAATGACATATCATATGCAAGGAAAATTAAAATGGTCCAAGAATTTAACCTTGAGGGACATCACATGTAAGTGAGGCACCAAACCTAATCAGACCATTTCCTTTAAATCAGATGCAGGTGTGTTCAGCCAATCAAAAGCTTAATGCACATACACTAATTTAGCGAATCAAATATGAGTAAAACACTAAAAGATAGAAAATATGCAGTGCTGGAGGTGTCCAAGGGGTATGATTTAGAACCATTGGGTCTAGAAAACAAAGACAGGACACAAAAAAGATAGAGGTAGAGGTAGAGTCAGCGACATGAGGGGGAGACCATGCAGACATCAATGGCACCATCCATTTTTAGAGTCTCAACTCGATGGCACACTCCAACATTCATGCTTGCTCTATAAACAACAAACAGCTCTTTAAAAATCAGACATCTGCCTGCAGGAGTGGCGTAAAGCTTCTGGCTCAAGTGGTCTGCGTGTGCACTGTAGAAGAGATTTATGCTTCTTTTTTGCGTTGTTATGATATCTCAGTCTGTATGGCATAGTCAAAAAGTATATGGACGTATGTGCATACATGGTTGAAACACAAAATCATTTTGTTTGGTGTATTAGTGTGGAAATGGCCTGATCATGCCTTAAAAAGGCCTTGTCTAACAAGTTATTAAATTGAAATTGGCCCATATTTGGTGAGATCAGAAGGATCAGAACACCAGGCTTTTTAGTAAGGTATAAACACCAGCTTGCATTAAGGCTTAAAATATTCAAGGACACAACAAAGAGCCTATGCATGATAGAGAGCGAGCAGAGACTTGAAACTGATAGATATATCACCAGAACTGGACTTTCTGGAATGTATGTCATTGTCTCACCTGTACCTGTAGCAACACACCAATGCAGACGTCTGCATTTTTAACTGCAGTGCTATTTTCACTCTGAATATGGCTCTAAAACTTAAGACACATCCAGCCTGGCTGAGTCAAGTGCATTGCAGAGTACATTGAATACTTCCACCTGTTCCATCAACAGTATGTTTGTTGGCAGTAGCTCGGGGCCTGTTGACTCCACTGTTTGTAATGACAAACATGGGCACTCAGTGCATTTGCCTAATTAGTTACCAGCTGTAGTGAGAAGGATAATTGATTGCAGGGCAATATGGTTGATTTGCAACTCAACCAAGCTAATAATTTGTTATTGATTGAAGCATTAGCGAGGAAAACACTACAGAGAGATGTAACCCAGCCAAAGAGCTGCAGAAAGTTGATGCTCTCAGTTTTTAATCTACTTAAATGATATTACACCTCGCTAAGCTAACATCGTAAGGAGCGCACGACGGGAGATGATGAACTGCTGGTTTCAGCTCAGCACTGTAGACTCATATGTTATTACTGGAAGAGATTACATTTACTCAGGAAGCATGAGAGTGTCTGTATGTGTTTTATGTGTACGGAGATTTGTGTGTATGTGTGTGTATATGTGTCTCTGTCTCTGTCTCCTGGCAGGGTCTGCTTAAATAATACTTGAATATTGAGGTCTCAGAGTCACTATTATTCATGTGTTGATATGCATCAGACATGTGCAGTAAGAATAATGTCTCTTGAATTACAGTAAATAGTTGTGCTAACATTTTTCCAGCACATCTCTAAGAGAGGCATACATTTTAAGTGAGTTCCTTTCTGCTTCATTGACTTGTGGAAACTTTCTGCCTCATTGAACAGTCCAATACTGGATTCAATTTTCTAATTTTAATCAGCCATTAAATTAACTTCCAAAGTTTAATTGCACATCTTAAATAATTATCTCGAGGTCAGAGGTTAGGTATTTCTTTGAGATGGCTCATTGCTGGAGAGTTTTCTGAGCAGTTTTTCCACTCTGTGTCCTCTACACCCTCCATCTCTCCCTTTATATCTCTTCTTCCCAGCCACCCTCTAGTTACCTAACATCCTTGCTTTCATCCCACGGTTATGTACTTTTTACCAATGTTTTATACCTTTTGCATTATGTGTTTTGTTCACTTTCTATTGCTCTATGCTGGATTCAGAGCCCGAAGCCCCCAGGAATTGAAAGTTGGAGCAAAGAAATGATTTTGAAGTGACTCTGGCTTTCTTTTCTTTTGAAGCCAGGTGTAAAAATGTTGCATTGAGGTGCTGAAGCGGTCTCTTCTCTTCTCCAGCTATATCCCAGAGGCCCACCTTGGCAGTTAGAGGAGAGGTCGTCACCATGACAGCGTCCTCGCAGGACTCCACTCCCTCGTCTATGGCCGGCCTCTTCCTGCTCCTCCTCTTCCCAGCTGTCTTCACGCAGAACTCCGCTGTCCCGACAACCCCGACCACGTCATTGTTTGACCCGCTGACCCAACCGGAGTGCACGAAGAAAGAACACCCAAAGGTTTCCATCCAAGGTCAGACATCATCTATAACCACCTCTTTCATATTAACATCTGATAACACTATACAAGGAAACTGGTTACTGGAAGAATGCAGGTTACGGTTACTATAAAACCTTTGTTTACATACAGTATGCCAGTAATCAGATTTCTCTCTTATTTTCTACTGTGTTGGACCGTGGGTGGCTTATATTAAGATTTCAGATTTATTACCTTTTTTTTACAAGAGGATTTGGACTGAGAGCTGGATCCTTCTCTGTATTTTATAAAATAGCCGACTAATTTAGACTGAAAGAAGCTGCTATTCTTTATTTTAGTGTCGATTTTAGTTTTAGTCAGACTTTGGATTATTATTTGGATACAAGGACCCACTGCACTAAGTAAGGATGTCTGGTGAAGTGTACACATGGTGGAGACATCAGGCTTCTGCATGCCATAATATTAAAGGACAATTCTGTGTTTTTTTTTTATAACTTGGGTCTTGTTTTGTGTTGGACTCTCCACCTCTGAGATCAAAGTGAAGTCACTAAAAAGAAGTCAGACGGGATGATAAACACGATCAGAAAACTGGTTTGGAAGAGAATACATATAAACAAAGACAAATAAACACCTAAGCTTTCATTCACAGTTTATAGACATAATTTCTGCTTCAGCTTTGAGCTACTGTATTTAATGTAGTTGTGCATACCACACAGTTTTCTTACAACAAGGGATTTATTATGAACATTTCAGGTGGTCTCACTTTCTGGTTTACCTCCAAATAAAGTGGTTTCGATAATTTTCCCTTTTACCTTACGTTAAGGAAAAAAAAATTTGATTTTGATATCTGAAATTTTTCAACAAAATTAATAGTAAATTTCAGAGTTTGGTGTCAGGGCAAGGGCTTCTTTCAAGACCTTATGAACCAACACAATCGTACAGGGGGGAAGAAAACAGTATATCGAGTGAAAATAATATAATAATGCCAGAAGGGGTTCAACTAAACCTAGAAACAGAAAACATTTCTGGTTTTCTGGACGTCATGGGTAAAAATAACTGACAAGGAAAAATAAGTTATGGAGTTAATTTCAAAATAAGCCACATAATCTATTCAACATTACAGGGTCACACATAAAATTGTAAGAATGTATGAAAATGGGATCTACCTTGAACCTTGATTGCTGTTGTGGTTTAATATCTCTCTTAGTACCTCTTAACATAGGCAATGACATGGTTTGTGACAGCTTTATGTGATTTGAATGAGGTTCAATGCAGCAAATTATTACTATCATGTATCTTAAGTGAGACAGTTTTCTTTATATACTTGCCCGAGAGACTTTAATATTGCTGGATGTCATGCTGTGTACACGTACACATGAATTCTATGTGTGGAAACATACAGATGCCACTTTTCACTGCAACAAAATACAGTGTTTTCATAAACATATCCCTATGCCAGCTGCAATAAAACATCACAGTTTGGCATTCAAGCAGGTCAGCATGCAGCTATAAAAGAACAACAGAAAGCAAGAGGGGACAAGATAGAAATGATTGTGTAGAATAATGGTGCTCACTATCTAGCCCGTTCATCTGTACAGTGGGCCAAGAAACAAGGTCTTCCTCGCAGCGTGAAATGGAACAGAACAGTTTGGGGCACAGAATCACAGATAGATATGGCAGAATGAAAGGTAAACACGAACAAAATTGCTGTGTTTATTTTTGAATAGGGTTGTTTGTGCTCCCTCTGCCAAGAGCGGTGACTAAGATTGGAGGACCAAAAAAATCGCTGGTGGGGATCGAGGACAGAAACACAAAAATTGAAGAGGTGGCCAGAAGGTTTTCCTGTGATTAGAAATATACTCTGCCCCCTCCAAACCATATTGCAGACATTTCCTCTCAACTCTCGGTTTTTCTTTTTTTTTGTACAGCAGTATTGTTCCCTTCCAAGTCTCACACTATGCTCGAGGGCCAGCTCACCCATGTTGTAGGTCTGAACTCTGGCTAATGGAACTGAAGATGGACATAAAGAGCTCTGTGCCATTTGGTCCTTTTTTGCTGGACTTTCCGTGTAATAGCAGTTTTAAGTTTGAGAACTGGAGCATCTTTCTATTGGATTTTCAATCCATAGAACTGGTGAAATTGCTTTTCCCCCCCACAAAGCTGAGCCAAGGTCACCTATATGAGTCTTTTGCCTCTGTCCTGCTTCAGCCACCAGGCCTCCAGATGTCCAGATTAGCCCGGGCTCCACCGGTGCTTCACTTCAAAGGCGTGCCTCTTGAGAATGGCTCTCATGGCAGGGAGCTGCAGGGCTGCTGGCCTGTCAAAGCAGGCAGAGCGGGGCATTATGTGGAGGCAGCCGTATAGAAAAGGCCTGCACAATGAAAGTGTCAGCGAGAACCTGAGATTAGCCTGTGTGATTGATGAGCGTTTTATAGGGGCTTGTTGAAGCGCTACCTCCGTCACCTGGAGGAGACCAGGGAGCCGGCTAAGAAGATTTTACTATGGGAGTGTGTACGCACCATTTACGTGCTTTAAGTGTATGTGCCTGTAATGACAAGTAATTGTTTGTGTTTGTATGTTGGACTGTATGTGTCCCTTTGTATGATGCAGTGAGATTGAATCCTGGCAGGGTGAAGGGATCAGTCGTCCTCTGGCCCCCCTCCACAGGAGCACGCTATCTGCTCCATCCTCTGGTTTTAAGCATTTCCGCTTTGGCTCATTGAACACTTTACACCAACTTGAATTTGTCATGTTGAGACAAATTTACTGATACATCTATCACTAGTGTGCCAAGTGTTGTAGGTCTATGGACAGACAATTAATCCTGATTCTCTTTTAGGCCTGTGATAAAAGTTAAACTTTATTGCAACTTAGTTTTTGTTTTCAGACAGTTCTATCAGCCTTGAATTTTACTGTTCACCTTTATTTTCTTTTTCAAATAACTTTATGAAAGCTGCAATAATTAATTTGTTTAATAAAAATATCTATAGTATAGAATAGCCTAAAATATTATTATTATTATTATTATTATTATTATTATTATTATTATTATTATTATTATTATTTGTTATTATTATTTATTAATTAATATTCCCCCCCCGTTTGTATGGATTTAATTTTCTAGGTTTCATAGTTTAAGCAGGTATCTTGAATGTCTTCAGGTCTCCCTCCTTACTAAATCATTATCTTGCGCACAAAACGTGATGTTTCACACCTGTTAAAGAAAGAGATGTGACGGGTGTATTAGTGTTTGTTGCAGGCAGTTGATGGTATCCATCAAAAGAAAGAGCAGGAGACATTAGTTACCTAGCAGTGGCAAGAAATCTCTCCATCACCGTTTACTATCCAGGCGGTGTGCTCAACAGCTTGGGTTAATGTTTTTACAAGACCCTTGCGCGGCAACGCGGTTGACACATAGAGAGACACCTCCAGACTATGTCTGTTATGTTGCTGTTCTTAAGAGCGAGTGCCAGCTGTTTTGGTCTGCGTATAGGTCGGACCAGCAGCTTGGAATGCGTAGCGTCCACTGACAGAGCTCCCAGTCGCGGTAGGGTCGGAAGTCCGGCGGGCGTATCGCTATTAGATGGTACTCGCAATAGCTTCTGGAGCCGCGCTGATCGAGAGCATGCAGGTAAGACACGTGGGGTCGATTGAAGGACTTTTGAGCGCCGGGCAGGGCAGAAGAGTGGATGGACTCGCTCTGACATGTAGAGCGATTTACCTAGGTAGTGGTCTGTTTGGGATATGATGGAGGACAGTTTTTATAGAAGTCTGTTGTTGATAGTAGGGTTATGGTCCTGGCATAGGCCCAGTAGAGCTGGGTTTTTGAGGGAGTGTGTAGGATGGGTAGGGCTGGTGTAACCTCGCAGTATTCGCTAAATCTTAGCTGCACTGGTTATCACACGGAGTCCTAGCAGCTTGATCCATACGAGAAGAGGCAAACAGTGTATTCATGGAAGGGAGTTAGCCGTTTCGGGAGAGTAATTGGTTAGACTGAATAAGACTTTGGCTCGGTTCCACCTAACCGTTCCTTCATAAGAAGATGGCGAGCGTGTCTGATGGATTAGATGGCTTAAAGCCTGTTCATCTGCTCGCTCATACTCATCTGAAGAGATGACAAAGGAGGATCGAACACTAGTGTACGTTTGCTCATTTCGTGTGTTATAAATTCGTTTGCAATTTGTCTTTTTCCAGAAACTTTCGGGGCTCTTTAGGGTTGGGGCGTTATATACGGCTCTGCCTATGGTGGAATTTCAATGTTTTTTACCGGGCTTGGTAGTCCCGTAGTCCTCTTTCATCTTCTTGTACAGTCTCTCTTCCTGGAGTCTCGCTCTCATTCACGCACGATGTTCTGTCCTCTTATATTCCTTTCTTGTTCTTACTTCTCACTTTCTTCATTTCATTCTTGACGCATTTACCTGGGTCACTATTGTTCGTCTCTCCGCTGCTATCCCTTTAATGCCTATAGGTATGAGCGGTGCTGTTTTTGTTTCTGCGGGAGATTGTACCAAATCCCCTCCTATCTCGTTTCATTCGTGTTGGGTACTGGTGCTGTCCGTGTTGTGGAAGGTCCGTCGTGTGCCATCTGAGGATTTTAGAGAAGTGAGGCCCTGTAAGAATAATGTTGCGTTAAAGAAAAAGGATTCGCATGATTGTGGTGATCTTATTTTGTTCTTCCTTATATTCTTTGTCCTACTTTGCCCTGTCTTGTTTTCTCTTCCATGATTACGGTGGTTAGGGCTTAATGTGGCCTGCGCTGTAGTGGCGCAGGCACTGTGTGATAGCTTGCAGGCCATGAATCAGGCAGCCTCTTTGGGAATCATGCAGTCGGTGTGGTGGTGATGTCGATGCTGCTGGGAGACCAGCTCTCACCAATGAGTGGTTTATGGTCATGGTTAGAGTTTGATAGCCTGATTTGGTGGTCCGAGGATAGAGGGGAGGAACATCAGAGAATAAGAAAACATTTAGAGGCTTTTATTTGGACTTCTCAGCTGATAGAGAGAGAGCAGCCAGGAAATTGTCTCGTTCTCGCTTGT